GGCTCTAAAGGGCTGCCCTTGGTAAACACCGAAGCAAAGAAGGTATTCAGCAACTCTGCTTTTTCTGTGTTATTCGTAACCAGTGTGCCCACCATGTTCACCAGCGGAAGTTTCTATTGAATATTTTCTTGCAATTCTACTTGAAACCATAATTTTTTCACTCTTTTTTCGTGACCTGCATTTTCACCTGTATCCCTAAATGTATTTATGCATTCAAATGGTTACAGGTGGATAGGGTGCAGAAAGCTATATGGGTGCAGGAGAAAAGCCTGGGCTTCTGTAGCTGTTAGTCCTGGGGGCTTTGCTGTGGATTTCACATGAAGCTGTATGAAGAAGTGCAAAGTACTTCTGAAAAAGGAGGGGGGAGGAGAGGCTTCTTTCTGTTGTGAGCTTTGATCAAGTGTCCTTGAGTAAATTAACATATTATGAATAAGTTCATACATTCAAAAATACCAATTTTATTTAAGAACTCAGAAGAATATATTTTGTCTGATGTGTAACTCAGGTTTGAGTCGTCTTGATTTGTTTATGTTGTCACTCAGTATAAACCTTGTATGCTTGAAGAAAACATTCAGGAGAGAGAGTGATGTGTTCTGATAAGCTGGCATTGCTGTCCTTGAAGTCTTCAAATGGCATCTTGTTTCTGAAGCACACTAATATTGTGTGTGGAGAGGAGCCGTTACAAAATCTGAACAATCTGACATCTGAAAAATGTCTAAAATCCCTGACATTGAATATAACTTTGGACAGGATGCATCTTTAAGTATTCTCACCCTGTTGAAACAGCAACAATTTTGAGTTTAAAATATGGATGCCTTGTCTTTTTAAGATGGTCCGGCTGAAGCATCTGTTACAAATGGAGGCACCACCACTGTTACAGCTTTGAATGATGACCTGGATATCTTCGGCCCAATGATCTCTAATCCATTACCGGCAGCCGCTGTACCTCCTGCTCAGGTAAATTTTGTGCACACACACCTATGTATGTATATTTGTATAAGCACAGACATGCATAAGCATGTGTGCACATGCACACTCTTATGTATATACATGCACATGCCTTCTTTCAGCAGATTGTACACGCAGGGGTGCGCACTGTTGAGCACTAGAAACTCTTTATTAGCTGAAATGGTTTTGTTTTTCTCACCTCTTCCAGCTTCCACATTGCTCAGATATGAGCATTAGGAGACAGCTTTCTAATTTCCCTTAATTATCTGGCTAAATTGGATTCTGCTGTACCCTGTTGGTGATGATCATATTTTCTTTTAAATTGTGCTCTTCAATTTTGTTCGCTTTCTAGCAGGTAATGCTGAATTTATTTTTTACTTGCTGTCCTCAGGTTACTGGGCTTTAAATCAAACTGATTAAGGACCTTTTATCGCTTTGTGACACAGCTCTTTAAGAAAGGCCATACCAGATGCTTCTGTGTAAGAGCTGCTAAAAACATGAGGTCTCAAGCTTCATAGCTTGAAATAGCGAAATGAATAGCTTCATAGAGAAATGAAGGTGGATGCCGACAGAAAACGGCGCTGCTCCCTGGGCAGATCTGCCGTCGCGTCCCCTTGGCGCTCTCGCACCCTTCCTTCCTCGGCGGGAGGCCGAGGCCTGCGCCCACTTGCGCCTCTGGTGGCCTCGGAGGGACAAACCTGCCCTGCCGGAGGCGGCGTGGGGAGCCCTTGAGGAAACGCCACACGCGGCACGCGCGCACCGAGGGGGCTGCGCTGGAGGAACCTGGCGTCTCCAGGGCCCTCCTAGCGCGATGCGGAGGCCTCTTTGGTCTCCCTGTGCCTCAGGCATGCAGGGCTGTTCGTGCTCTTGAATTCATAGCTTGGAACCTGTGGCCTGTGTCCGTATCCAGTAGTTTTGACAGTATCTAACGTGGAAGGATTGATGATGGAAATGGTCTTCTCCAGTCTACCTTCTCTTTGTAGTGTGCCACCATCTGCCTTTTGTTGTTTACTAAGGTCTAGTGACTTTGTTCTGCATTGGGTACTGTATAAGTGCTGTGTTTCCAACTGCCACACAGCTTGTGCTGTTCTCCTCTCCCCTTTCCATGGTAGTTTTACATATTCTCCTGGACCAGCAACCATCTGAATTCTGTAGTTGTTCCTCGTGATGATTTCTGACTAATTAGCATAATTATTTTTGTAAATATCTTTCCCCAGTTTATAACATCATTTGATTCTATAGGTTTTTGTCACAGCAATCAAATGTTCTGTTTTGTTTTGTTTTACTTTTTTTCTGAAATCCCTCATGGGATGTTTGTGTTGCAAAGCTCGTAGAATCCTGTGTGGATAAAGTGGAGCTTTCGAGGCCTGGTCAGCAGCTTGCCAGCAAAAATAGGGAAATCTCCAAAGTTGCTGCTTTAAGCAAGAACGTCGGCGTGCTACAGTAGCCGCTTGCTTTGTGGTGGTCATAAATGCTGCTACAGGATAAAAGTAAAATGGTGGACCTGACTGCAGACCCAGTCCCCTTATTGTTGTGTTGTAAACAGTTTCCTTTCACCGCGTAAAAGAGCTGAGAGCTGAACGTGCCCCGGTGTCGGGCAGCGGGGCGCTGAACACGTGCGGCGCACTGGGCTGGACGGAACCAGGACGGTGCCTTGGTGGGGCGCTGTGATCCGGCTCCTCCTGGCGCGGGCGCCCTCGCCTCGTGCCTCGCGCTGGGAATCCTCCCGGGCGGAACGGGGCAGCGGGAGCGCCGTGCGTCGCCTCGCGCCTGCGCCCGCTCCCCGCTGCAACCGCCTGCGGAGTCGTCGCAGAATAATGCAAAGGAAAGACACTTGGGTGGGGTGTGTTTAAAAAGTGCTTCTTGTAAGGGCAACAAAAAGTGTCGCAGCTTGAGGGTATCTGACTTTCTCAGTGCTAGACTCTAGCAAATTATAGATAATTGTGCTTTCCCAGTAAACCCAGTGCACTTAGACCATTATAAGAGTTATAAACCATGAATTTCAGAAGCTATTTTGAATAGATGGACTAAAATTTTATTTTTGCTTTTTCTCCAAAAATACTGTTGTCTTAGCTAAATAGCATATTCCCAAACACTGAGTCTTTTGTTCTAGTTCCTCTAATTTATTCCCTGTAGGAGAGGATTAATGAGATGTGAATTGTAATCTCCTTATTGGTTTCCTAATTGTTTTTCATATTCTAACGACAGCTCATGATTTATGCAGCCCACCGATGAAAAATGTAAGCACAAGAAAAACTGAATAGCCTGCACAAGCAAGCACTGGAGCGTGGTCAGGTTTTAGTTTTGCTTGTTGCATAGCCTCTTTCTGGCCTTTCCCAAATGTGCATGTTGGATTTTGGGCTTTGGTGATGCTACATCTTTTGAAACACTCATTTACTTTAAGCTAAGCCCTATAACTAAACTGCTTTTAATTTAGTTCAGGAATGAGAGTGTGCAGTAAATATTTAATGTAACATGACTTTGGCTGGTTTAACCCAGTAGTCTGTCTTGACCTTAATTTCCCAGAGCACTTCCACTAAACCAGCAGCTGCCACCTTATCTGCTGCGTCCGGGGATCTTGATCTATTCACTGAGCAAACAACAAAATCAGAAGAGTCAGCAAAGAAGCAACTCTCCAAAGACTCCATCTTATCACTATATGGCACAGGAACCATGCAGCAGCAAAGTGCTCCAGGTAGATAACTTTTTCAGATGTATCTACTATCCTATTTTACCCTTACTTACAATACAGTTGTTATTTCTTAACAGTGTAAAACTATTATTCTTAATTCTTCTAAATATATTCAAATGAGTTTTATTTCATCCACTTATAAAAATGGGGAAATTACTGAAGCATAATACTAAGGCTGAAGAAAAACTAGCATGTGTTTTTAATTTGAAGTTTAATTTGAAATTTGAAGTTGTTCCAGTTACCAAACACACAAATTACTGACAGTATTTGTTAATTCAGCTTCTCTGCTTGGCGTGTGAGTCTGCCCCGTGTGACAAGCAGGCTGCAGGACGCTGCAGACCTGTCCCCTTTTGCTCCCAGCCGTGTGGCTGTGAAACCAGAGGCTTCCAGTAGTATAATTAGAAGATTCTGGTTTGCCACAAGATTTGTCAAACTCATTTTTGTTAGTTAAAGTGTGGTAAGCAAGTCCCTTTCCTTTGAGAGGTTTTAAGCAGTTCCTTAGTGTGGCCATGTACCCAGGTGGCCCTGGTGGCTACAACTGGGCACAATTCAGCTTTACAATTGTTTTGTCGTGGTTCAAACGAGGGGAGGGGGAGGCTGTCACAAACCCCTGTCTGTAACGGCCCTCTTCCTGCCACAGGTATGTTCATGGGATCCTCTGCCATGCCGTTCACCACGCAGCAATCCACTCACTTCCAAGGTTTTCCCGCCATGGGAGTTCCTGTGCCTGCAGCAACTGGAATGATGGGAAACATGATGGGACAATCTGTGCCGGTCATGGGGCAGAGCCCGGGTGTGATGGTAGGGATGGGAATGCCCAATGGATTTAGTGGCACTGCACCAAGCGGTGTGATGGGACTGCCTCAGAACGTCGTCGCGCCGCCCGGAGGGATGGCGGGGCCGGCGGTCACGCACGGCTTGCAGCAGAGTCAGCAAGCCCAGTGGAACCTCCCGCAGGTAAGGAGCTCCGATTCCCTAATAAAAGTGCTTTAGAAAAGATGCCGCCTTTCAGATACTGCATGCGTAGATGGAGGAAGAAAGTTGCAGTGGGGTTTAGCTACAGACCGTTGGGCTGTGAACTGTTGAGATACATGGGCAGGGGAATAAACAGGGAAGAGTGTAAGTTAAAGGTAATGCATATATAAGCACAGAATAAACCTTACCAAGGGAGCGCCAACTCGGTTCTCGGCTAGTGTCCTTAGTCTCCTCCTGCCATCTTTACTAGCCAGGAAGAAATCTAGCTGAGGTGCTGAGGTGCAGTTATGCAATACTGAAGTGCAAATTCAGCCTTATAACTAAAAGCAGAATTTAATTACTAGAGGATAGACATTAACAATTAATACTTTCAACAGACTTCAAAATAAATTTCAGTGGAATGTGCACAGTGCTTTACACTCCAGCAGTCTCCTGTAGATAAATAATAGATCAGTCTAAGCAAATTATCTGTAATGTTCCCATGCTATTTTTGTTTCTTAAACATGTTTAAAGGGTTATCCAAATGTGTTAATATGCACTTAGTGGAACATCTTGGAAGGAGATTTTGAGACCTTACTGATTCCCATGAAGACTTCGTCATGGAAGATAGCAACTGATTTTTTTTCTGTAATATTCTTTGAATTAGAAAAATCATATAATAATTACTTGCTGCTTACTGCAGTACTTTGTGAAATGAACCTTAAAGGCTTATTTAGCTTTAATGATGTTAACTTTTACTATTCTGTTCAATCCTACATTGTGAACACTGATGAAGGTGGGCAGTATTTCCTAAATGGATAAATGGGGTCTGTTGTCCTGCTTTGAAAAATAATCTCACCTCATGCATTTTAAAAGTTCAGAGTTTAAAATATCAAAAAAAAGGGCACAGAACTACTGTTAACAACCTTTTTGTGCATCTTACTTCAAAGAGATAGGTATGAGATTAAAAATCATGCTTTTTATCAAATATCTATGAACAGGGTTAAAAGCTGCCTCACAGGATCAGCTCTTTTACACATGTTTCTGTATCACCTGTACATAAAATGCTATCGGCACACTGATACTTCTCAGTTTCTCGGGGAACAGACCAGATCTGTGGCTGCAGCTGGCCGGGGAGGGCTCACTTTCTGCGCCGTGTATAAGTGCACCTTACACAATCTCCTCTACATACTCTCCCTCAGAAGAGATTACTGGAGCACGCATATCTCCACCAGCTTGCCTTGATTCCCATGGTCAGCACTACAGCTGTTTTTGCGGACACACATGTGAAAGCACAAAATACTGCGTTTTACCCTGAAATACCAGTGTGCAATTCACTGAAAAACATTTTTTCACCAGTGATTTGCAGTTTCATTTTGAAACTGTTCAGTCTCGTTTACATGAACTCTTGATTTTTATCTAACACTATCTCTAAATTGCATATGATGTTCCTTATCTAGTGTCCCTCTTCATCACCTGGTTATTAATTTCACCAAATGCTCTTCTGCTCTCAAGCCCTTGAGAGGGGTGTCTTTACTCTGCCTGTGTTTCACTCTGCCCGTGCTTTGGGCTGGCCAGTAGGCATGTGGTACCATGGACTTGTTCTTTTGAGAACATTTTTACTGAGAGCATGGAAAAATTACAATTAATGGTTATATCTGGAGACAGTAGAAACATATTTGCATCTTCCTTAGAAGGAATGATGTGAGTTTTGAGCTCTTCAATTTCTTGAACCTTTAACTAGATTTTTTTATTATTTGGTTCACGTCTGTTTTAAAGAAATACGGTATCTTGAGTACATTTTAGTCTTTAGGAAAACGCTTAGTTATAGGTAATACTGAAGTTTAAAAATATCTTATACTTTGACAATCAAACGGACAATGTATTAAGCTTAGATAAAGATTTTGAGAGGGATGTTGCTAGAACAAAGAACACCTGCAATTGAAGGTACAGACAAGGCTTCGTAACCTGCCTTGTTTTTGTGATTGAAACTCAAAGGGCCTTGCGATTTGAGGAACCCCAGACGCATCATGTGGTCACTGCAGAGTCACTAGTAAAACGCTGGTTCGGAGGCTCCAGCCTGTCAGGCCCTTTGCCACAGGTCGCCCGCTGCTCCGAGTGATGGTGGTCGCTCACACTAAGGGTTCCCAGAAAAGCCGGCGCCTTGGGAAGTGTTTAGCAGGTTGTTTTGGGAAGCTGTGCTGAGGCAGAAAGCCGCCCCGCGGGACGCGCGCTGTGGCGGGCGTCGCGTTGCGTCGTGTCGCGGTGTGCGGCGTCGCGTCGCTGCTGACGGCGCGTGTGCTTTGTTTTTTTTTTTAGCACGCAGCTCTGGAAGTGAGCGGGGCCGCCCCGCTCCCCGCGCTCGCCATGGACATCCGTTTTCTTTCCCCCCCGATTACAACTATAACTGACCGACCGTGTCGTGGTCTGTATTGATTTAAATTTGATGTAGTGACAAGCAGATCAAGAATACATTTATATATCATCAGCAGCTTTTTCATACTACAGTGCACTCATGATTTCGTAGACCATATATTTAAGAAGCTGCTTAATCATATACTGATTTTTTTCCCTCAAAATTGTAGATCAAATGTTTGCATATAAGGGATGTAGCTATCATGTTAGTAATATCTAAAAATATAAACCCTGCCCTCCCAAATTACCCAGTAATCCTGTAGAAGGTACTCTATGAACAAATGTTTAATCATATATATATAAATAGAATGTAAATGTATCACTGAGCAATGTTTTCTAGTGTATCAAACAAATCTTGTTTCATCATACATTTCACTGTGATGTTATTATGGTGTGCGTAACAGGGAACATGATTATCGAAAGAAAGATAAACCTGGATGTTACTGTAGTTCTACAAATTAATAGTTTATTCTTTTTTACTTGAAAGGAAAAAAAGAACATTTGATCCATTGGAGTTTCCTGTGATAAAATATCCAATCTGGCTGGAGGCTTGTGCACAGTGTTAATGCTGGGAACTAGTGGCACAATCTGTATACAAGACAACTCAGTGTGAACAGATATATTTTTCCTTGCAGAGATATCCAGGTTTATGGCAGTGATTGTGTTTACATTTTATGGTGCCTCGTAATAATAAAATGTTATTTCCCTATATTAAAAGGATAAATCCATAAACACTTGTGGATTTTCTTTTTTTTATTTCATGATTGTATGACCTTCTTGATCACTTTTCCATCAAGAAGTTTGTTTTTTAATGAAGGAAAACATATTCAATTTGGAGGATTCATTTACATAAATATTGGTGGTCAACAGCTTGTGATTTAGAATCAGTTTATAATTACACCATTAGGCTGGATAAATACAAAAACTATATACATAAATGATGATTTTGAAAATATTCCATTGCAGTCATGTTTGTCTCTCGATTGTTTTTACTACGTGGAAACAGCCTTAAAACAAAGGTAAGTGTCAGTTTAAGACCAAGTTCAGAAACGCATGCAAACACGTTAGAAGGAAGCACACCCGGCCGGTCTGCAGGGCACAGGAGAGCTGTGTTGTTTGCACACCGGCCCGCCAGGCAGCAGTGGGAGCTCTCCCCGCGGAGCCGCCTGTGGAGCTGGCCGGGCTCCGCCGCCCCGTGCCGCAGCCGCGGTGCGCTCGGCTCCTGCGCGTCTCCAGATCATACCTCAATGTTCACTGTGTCCAGGTGGTATTTGGGCTCATTAGCTAGATTTACTTTTTCTGTTCGTGTATGCCATACGAGAACCTGTAAAAGAGCATCCCTGTTGGTACAGCGCTCGGTAATCTACAAAGCTGATACAGAAGCTTGTTAGGAAGTGTGCAAGTTAGTACCTTTGTGCAGTTGTTTGCTTTTGGTTCCAGTTCCTCCACTGTTGTTATCTGTTTTAGGAAATCAGATTCCTGCATTCCTGGTTGAGAACCGCGACGCTTGAATACAGCTTTGGGGTGTGACAGAATCACTTGGAGACTCACAGCAAATCCTTGAGAAAAAAAAACAGATTAAGAAAAACTTCTAGGTTTTACATTATTTGATTTCTATGCAATTTATATTTAATCCTAGAAATTTTATTTCCATTTGTCTAATCTGCTTTTAAAAACATGTAATTTCAATCTTTACAAGGACAGACAGTAGTTGGTAATACAATAGTTTGGTAAAACAATACATACTGCTTTACAAGGACAGACAGTAGTTGGTAAGGCTATATATACTATATTGTTTTGCTTTCTGTTGTGAAGATGGAGAATGTTTTTTTATTTACATGGTACCTTCTACATGTTTTGTTCATTTTCATATTTTGTCTGAAAGGCAGGTATTGCTAAGATCTCAGAGTGTATCCTCCCTTCCTACTTCTAATTAAGAAATAAAACTGCCTTTCAGCTAAAATAAAGGTACTCGCACAGTACCTACACTTCTGGGTAATAAAGGCAAGAGTCAAAAAAGAAAAATGGAATAAAATAACAGTAACTTAATCATGATTACTGTGGGCAGTTAGCCTTTAGAGAGTTTTTAAAATATTATTGCTGAAAGACAAGTCAAATTAATATTTGTCTTGTATGTAGTTCTCTCAGCCTTTCGAAAATGACTCCCTAACGTCGTGTCAAGGACAAGGCTGGGCGGCCACCGGCTGCGGTTCCCCAAGTGCTACCGGGCGCTAGGGCCGCCCCAGGGAGGAGGCGAACTCAGAAAGAGCCGCTCTGCACAGCTTGACTCTCCCCGAGGAACTGCGATGGATCCATAGACCTCTCCTGCAGAAACCCAGTAGGGTTTGGTAGCTTCAGACTCAAGTGCTACCTGAACCTTCCCACTTGGGAAGAAAAAACACTCCTAGCTCCCTAATAGCCAAGGCTATCAATGAAATTCCTTAGTCAGTTCAGAGTGGCTCCAGTTGTCATGTTATCACAGTAGTACTAGCACCGTGGTTTTGGTATCTATTTTACTTAAAAATTGTAAGATTTTTAAGATTTAACATTTAAGATTTAAGCTGGTAATAGTTGAAGGGGAAAAGATGTACTTTGATATCAGCACTGTTATCGGGGAAAACAGCTGCAGAAACTGTTTGCCTGCTAAGCTGCAGTCTTCTGGGTTTTGGCAAGAAGAAGGAACTCTCCTAGGCAGGAAGGAGTCACAAAAAGTTCTGTAGCGTCACTTAGTGTGCCCCAAACTGGGCTCCCTGCAGCCCCTGCGCGTGTGGTCACTCCTGGGCTCCCTCCTGTGGAACCGGCGGTTCTGCTGGGAATCTTGGATTCTGTGCAGATGGGTGTCTCTGAAAACAGACCTTGTGGTGTTGGTTCAGATAAACTAATTCTGTTCAATCAGACAGAAATACTAACCAAAGAAGCTTAAAGGAAGTCTGTTTTGTGTTGTATTTTGTTTAGACTAAGGTGCATACTTCCTATGTTCTCATCGTTAAAGAAGATTATTAGTTTTTTTTTTTTTAACTGGTTTCCCTCAGTTCTTTTTGAACCAAGATTCTGGAAATACTTTTAAAGTGTGAGGACTGCATTTTTGGAAAGACAGCTTGCTTCCCATCCCAGCCTCTGGGGCATGTTTGTCTGTACCTGGAGGATGGTTTTTCTTCCTAGGGAATTTGATCTTGCAGTGTGTAAGAGCCCATCTTCTATAATCTTAATACAGTAGGTATAGGATTTTGCTTAGTTCTGTTTAATTAAACCATTTATTATCATGGAAGACTAAAAGCAGTATTAATAGTACCAATAATATTTATTGCAGAACATAACTAAGTGATGATTTCAACAGGAAATGTGAAAATCTTCAACTGCATTAGGTAAAATGCATATTTCCAAATTACTTTGGGCAGGATGATTTCAGCTAACAATAAATACCTCTTAGCATTACTTTTTAGCACTGTCTTGAAAACAAATGTAGATTTACCCTAGAATATTTTTTTTTCTTTTGGTGAGGTCTTGCTGCTCTGTCTCTCCACTTAAGCTCTGAATTTTATGAAACTAAAGAGGCTACAGAGGATAGAAGAGGCAGACGAACATATTGCAGGTGCTGGGTCCTGTGCTCCGGGGCCAGCACTCAGAACTCGGAGCCGCAGCCTTGGCGGCCTCTCCAGCAAGAGGACCGTGTTTAACCCTGAGCACAGGAGGGCTCGTTGTCCCACAGAGTGCGGGGAGTCACATCAGTTCTCAGGCAGCAAGAGCCGCCCTGTTCCTTGCCCTTCACTGCTTTAACACCAGCATTGCCCCCTCCTGCGCTGAGCAGCGTGGAGAAAAAAAAAAAAAGGTCGCGCATTCGTGGTGATTTGTCACAGGGTTTTATCTTCTGCTTCTGCTGTGGGGAGCCCCCCTCTCCTGAGTGCCCAGGTGCCTGGCCTCTGCCTCCCTGTGCTGCCTTTCCTCCTTTCTCTTCTCCTGCACTTCCTTATTCTCTACCCTATAAACACTCTCCCTCTTGTTAACAAATGTCTCCCACTCTTATTTCACATCCTCTCCTCTTCAGTCGTTGTCACTTTTTGCTTGTGGTACCTAATTTCCACCTTCCTCCCCAAAGTGGTATGGAAGTCTGTGCCAAACTCCATGAACCACCCACAGTTAAAACCAAAGTGGAACTTACAGAACAAACTAACTGGCTCATTGGGCCCATTTGCCAGAGAAGCAGCAACATGGGAAACATCTGCTATTTTTTTCTAAACACAGTTTCGGATAGCAGAGTAACTGTTTTCAGCCACTAACTCCTCAAAAGAAACAACCAGTGTCTACTTAACTGATCCAATGTGAGAGGACGTTTCAAAAATGACTCCGGGAAGCTGACCCCATAGGGGCTTTGGGCTGACCGCCAACGAACTCAGTGGGGCTTCCCCCTCTTGTGCTAGCCCTGGGCTCCTGGGCTAATGCTGTGGAACTGCTTTTTGTCTGTTGCTACTGAACTATGGACAGTAGTAACATGCTCACAGTACCCGCAAGAAGTAACCACTTCTGTAGCACTACAGAGATGCTCAAATATTTTCACATCAGGTGATACCATTGACTTGAAATCCTTCTACAGTGCAAAAAAAATCAGTTGTTCATATTCTTGCCATTAGTCCTCCTGTTACTGTTTTTAAGCAATTAATTACACCCGTTTTTCATCAAATATTTCTGTATGTAAAGTTTTTTTGTTGCGTTGAAAAGCATTCTACTTTCCCCATTCCTAAAACATGAGGGGTTTGAAGTGAAAGAAAATGTCTGGTTATTCCCTGTTTCTTGTACTCATCGTCCTCCTTTTCCTTCTCCTTCCTCTTCCCGATTACGCTTAAGCACAGATATTGTATTCTGGGACACAAGCTGCTGCTACAGCAAGGATCAGAGTTGTGTTCACTGGTGATTTAGTTGGCAGGTGTGAATAAATCCCAGTGAGTGTCCAAGCCAGGGCTGACAGTCCAGCAGCGCTACATGGCAGGCTGCTTTCACAGAAGAAGATTGATTAGCTCAGGTTTGAAACATCTCTGCCTCCATCTACTAGGCTCTAGCTGTCAGGGCTCTTAAGCCCACTGTTTCGAACTGTGTTCATCTACATCTGTCACTGTCATTACAAATAACGAGCCAAAAATGAGTCAGCATAAAGCGATGAAGATGATTAAGGGACTGGAGCATCTATCATATCAGGAAAGACTAAGCAACCTGGGCCTGTTTAGCCTGGAGACGATAATATTGAGAGGAGATCTGATCAATATGTTCAAGTACCTGAAGGGAGAATGTAGGGAGGATGGGGCCAAACTCTTCTTGGTGGTGGCCAGTGATAGGACAAGGAGTATTGGGTGCAAGCTAAAACCCAGGAAGCTCCGCCTCCATGTGAGGAAGAACTTCTTTCCTGTGAGGGTGACAGAGCCCTGGAACAGGCTGCCCAGAGAGGTTGTGGAGTCTCCTTCTCTGGAGATCTTCCAAACCCACCTGGATGTCACCCTGTGCCACGTGCTCTAGGTGTCCCTGCTTGTGCAGGGGGGTTGGACTAGATGATCTCTAGAGGCCCTTCCAAGCTTAACAATTCTGTGAATCTGTGACTTCATAAGTAGCATTCACAACTAAAAAGGATTTCATTTATACTGCCTGGTATTGCTGCAATGAAAAGCAGAGACTTTCCAGAAAAAAAAAAAAAAAAAAGGTAAATTACTTACAGTTAACTAGTTTTAGATAAACAATTCATACACCATTACAGACAAGCTGCCCCATAAAATTAAAACAAGTGAAAGCATGTTTGGCTATCACCAAGCAGAGCTTAACCAAGTAAAACAGGTAAGCTGAGACTTCAGAGCCAGAGGGGCTGCATATGCCAGCTGCACTTCGGAAGTCTCACAAGCTGTTACATTGCGACGTGTTGCGTGTAGCTGGCGTGGGAGCTGCGTGAGCGCCCGCGCGGCGCCGTCCTTACCCGCCATGTCGACAGCGAAGGGCCGGTCCGCCCTCCAGCCCGTGTACCAGCCGACCACCTTGCCGTTCTCCACGACGGGCCGCTCGTAGCGCCGGCCGCCCACGAGGCCCACGGGCCACACGGACACCTTGCGGGTCGTGCGCATCTGCGGGAGGCAGCACAGCGACACTGTCACCCACTTGTCCCCACTCCCACCTCAGCTTTCCTGGCAGGCTGCTTTTTCCCTTCTCCTAAGTGTCAAGGGAAAGTCTTAACATTAGGAGTCAATCCCAGGTGTTGGAAAGCAATCCAGCTTGACAAAATAAGTACGTGAAAGGTGAGCATTCCCACACCAGATCTCTGGCCGGGAGACACTTTAATTCTATTGAAAATGCCCTATTATTTGTTATAGCATTTTTTTTAAAGCTATGAAAAAATACTACCTGTTTCCCTTTTTGTTCATTTGGATATTTATAGATGTATCTATAATAGATCTTAGACTGCCCCTCTACTCAGCCCTGGTGAGGCCGCATCTGGAGTACTGTGTCCAGTTCTGGGCTCCACAGTACAAGAGGGATGTGGAGCTGCTGGAGAGAGTCCAGCGCAGGGCTACAAGGATGATCAGGGGCCTGGAACATCTGCCCTATGAGGAGAGGCTGAGGGAGCTGGGCCTGTTCAGCCTGGAGAAGAGAAGGCTGAGAGGGGATCTAATCAGTGTATATAAATACCTCAAGGGAGGGAGTGCAGAGGACGGTCATGGTCTCTTTTCAGTGGTGGCCACTGATAGGACTAGAGGAAATGGCCGGAAACTGAAACATCAAAAATTCCATAGGAACTTAAGGAAAAATTTCTTAACAGTGAGGGTGACAGAGCACTGGAACAGGCTGCCCAGAGAGGTTGTGGAGTCTCCTTCTCTGGAGATCTTCAAAACCCGCTTGGATGCAGTCCTGCGCCACGTGCTTTAGGTGTCCCTGCGTTTGCAGGGGGGTTGGACTAGATGATCTCTAGAGGTCCCTTCCAACCCTAAGCATTCTATGATTCTATGATTCTATGATCTTTCCTCTCTGCAAGAACATAATATTTTTTCAGTAAGTTTATTTCCAGAAGTTGTTTATACATTAGAGATACGCAGTGAGAATAAGCATGATCATAATGTTTTAAAAGTATTTCATTAAGACATGCATAATTAGTTGTAACCAGTAGCAAATAAATACATTGAGTGCAAAAAATTCTGACACACAGCTCTTTCTATTGCTGCACCATACCAGACTTACCCAAAAGATGTAGCTTTGATCTAGTAAAGGCTCATAATAATAATTTAAAAAAAAAAAAAGATTGAAAAGGGATTGTTTTGACTTTTTTTTTTAACATTTACAGTATACCTAGAAAAGACATGAAATGTTTCTGGAAATGAAGAAGAAAAAAAAACCCACAGGTTGATCAGGATGGTTGTGTTTGTTCGTTCAGTAGCTGGAAATGCAGTCCTAATCTAACCTAGAGGAATTAATAGTTACTAGAGAATTACTTTCTAGCAAAAAGTATGACTGAGATTCAATGAATTCACATTCCCTGGTGAGAAAAATCACATGCCAAGAACCCTGACGTGCGGCTCCCACTGGAAAGTCACTGACACTGGCATGAGAACTGAGAGCACAACCCCGGAACTGAGACAGAAAGTTGCCTGGAGGAGGATGCACGCTAACTAAATTAACTGCCACTGTTTTCACTGGCATTCTTACATACAATCCTGCGTAAGCACGTATCGACCTGAACTCTTTCAGTGTGAGATAGATAGCTTTCATTCAGCTTGTTTTTTAAAACAAGTTTGTATTCTAGCATAGCTGAGGCCTGTCCCTTAGGGAAAGGTTATCCCTTTCCCCTTCCCAGCACTCATCTTACAAATATGTAAAATTTTACTTGTTTGTCCTACTAGCATTCCCATACCAATAGCTGCCCAAGTAAAGAAACAGGAGCATTCTTGTCAAACAAGACAATACCACTGACTCATGAAAGCAGTACGAAATGGTCCGAGAAGATTCAGCACTCTCAGTCTTGGGTCCATCTCAGTGTCTGTAAGTCAGCAAGACTACCAGATATCGAAAGAAACTAAATATTTACAGAGCTCTTTATTTTGTCCTGTGATACTTTTTTTTCCTCTATCCTCTCAAATGTTAGATTTGTGGAGAATGAGATATGCAGGGTTTCAAAAATATATTTAAAATACTCTTAAAGTACAAAGCGAAAGAGCACATCTATACCTGTATTTATGCTAATTACAGCCTCCGGATATGCAAGGTAGATGAAAGTAGGGATATTTCTTTTAATCCTTTGAGAACATCCTTATTGTATTTAACATATTGATGTATTAAGGCTGTGTTCATTCAGGATGAGAGGAAAACCGCATTTGTATTCAAAGGTCAGCTTTTACCTGGAATTTGATGCTATCAATAATTGGGCCATAAGAAGGCAATTCTAAAAAACATATTAATTCTAAATAGATTTGTTGCTGTGGGTTAAACAACTTCCAAAATCCTGTAAGTTACATCGACAGCTTCCTAAATGACTCCTCCACCTGATATTTGAATGTACAGTAGCACATTGTCTTAATATTCAGCATATTGAGCTCCAGCAGTTTACATGAACTTGATTTATCTATCTCACTTAATTCGTGCAAGCCAGACATCTAGTCTGTGCTGGCTGTTTGGAGTGACTATAGTTAATGAACAGAGATAGCAGCCTCCTGATGTGATTCATCCTGCCTGCCTTAGACAGCTGTCCTAAGATAGGGGAAATCTCCCTCTGGAAATGCTTTCTTCTCTCTTTACTTCGTGGTTATCAGAAAAGGGTCAGGACACCAGACGAGAGGGATGTACTGGCTGGGGGAAGATGGAGGATGAGGGGAGGCTCTGTAAAATAAACCAAAAAGAGAAGTAGAGGAGGAATGGGCTAGAAAATGAAGAGGAGAAGCAGAATGAATGACAAGAGAAATCCAAATGAGGTAATGAGTAGTCTGTAGTGAATACAGTAGTAATACAAGGCTCACTTAGAAAGTAACCAGTAAAAATGCAGCAAATGAAGCAGAGCAATAAAAGACAGTCATCAAAGCATTGCTAAAAATAGCAACTCATCAGTCAGTCAAGAAAAACTACTTAATAAGACATGGGGTGTGTGGGACTGATGGACATGGGAGATGCCAAGCCAGTAAGAAAAGATAAAAGCCTAAATGACAGAGAGAAGGAAATACGGTTGCCCTTGCTGCAGTGGAAAGGCTTCCCAGCTGGACCAGCCCTCCCGGCGCGTCTGCGGCCTGAGCTTGATGTGTTTCTATCCGGGTTTCAAAGTTCTCAGAGCCTTTGGCTGCCACATGCAGGAAGCTTTTTTCCTTCTTTCTTTCTCTGTCTCTTCAGCCCTTGTGTAATTTGCAATCCATACTGGTCAGTGTACAGGTTATCATCATCCACACTCACCCTCCCATCCCACTGGGGTTTCAGGAGATTCATACACAAAACTCCAGTGCTTTATTACCAAGATGCAGCTCCTGGGGGGAGGAAATGCTGCAGGCTGAAGCGCCCCTAGAGACCATTTCCTGGGCTCGCTGCACCACTCGGTGTCGCTCAGAGCTGGATTCTGCCTCCCCCAGATCTCCGTGACTGCACTAGTCAGCAGAGCTCATCTGCCACGGTGTGCTGCCCGCGCCCCAAACAGAGCCACGAAATGGAGCCTCTGCCTCCGCTTCCCAACACTTCAACAGGGTTACGGAGCTCAGAAAACTGTGACAGTGGTTTGACAGCCCAGCGGTTCTCCCAGGCTTCAGAGAGAACTACAAAAAGCAGCTTGTTGTCGGTAAACTCATTTCCCCAGGAAAACTCGCAGCAAGTGTCTGCAAACCAAAGAAATTTGTCAGTCACTTATCTAGCCCCTTCACACCTCTCCATGCTGATAGATGGCATTTAAACTGTTCTTGTCAAATGTTTCTCTCATCTCTTCTTAAAGACACCAAACAATAAAAGCTCCTCAAGCCTCAGGATGATCTGATCCAGTGCCCTGAGTTCAGAAAGCTTTTCCTAAATATCTATCTTGAACTTCATCTGCTGATTCTTATCCCATCCACACTGAATAGGGGGAATAGATTAATCTCTCCCTATCTCCACATACAAAATGCACAACATTTTATAAATTGGATACAACTGATTAATGCTTCTAACTAATATTGACATCATCCATGGGCATAGATTTCAATACTGCTTCCCTGCAGGAGAAAACTGCACTAAATTTTGCTAGAATGAGAAAACTTCCCAAACATCCATTATTCATGTTTGCTTTCGACTCTCCTACTTACTCTTCTTCTTGTGCTGCTTCGTTATCCTCCTGTGTTAGGTGTTCCCACATCATGCAACACACCCCTGAGGAGCTGCTCACCACCTTGAACACCACAGTAGATTACAGTTTCACGGGTGGAAATAAGACACAGAAACAGACAGTGTTTGGTACCTTGTAATCCAGAGTTACTCCTTCTAATTTATCTGCTTCAAGTCCTTTTTATTTTCCTTGTTCCTTTCATTTTAAAGCTAATTCATTATTTCTCCACCAGTCTTTCCTAATCCAACCTTTTCAGCCCAGTTCTTACATGCCTGCGTGCAGGAGGAACGTCAGTATGCATTTAAGAACTGCCACGTACTCTTAAATCATTTATAATCTAGAAAGGTATTTAATGCACTGCTAACTCATATTTGGATCTTTTTATTACGAGGAAAATAACTAATGACAGCCAGCTAATACTTACTTCTGTCTAGGCCACTGACCTATTTTTAAGATAGCAACAGTCTGATTTTCCAACCAGCTCCAACAAGATGTGATGAAAGATCTTCATGTTTGTGAAAGACAAACAGATTCACTCATATTGCTTTAAAAATTTACAATAAATATATTCACTTAAGATAGAGGGAAGATTTTTTTAAAAAAACAACTATCGAAATCTAAATTAATCTAAATACCCTATATATAGGGTCGGAATACATAATAAATACTCACTACTTCTGTGCTGCATTTTTGAGTTGCTCTCGAAATATTTTACAAGGATATTCATGGGAAAATTGAAGTGTAATCTCAATTTCCAACTGCTCATATCTATAAGACCCCTATCTAACCCCAAAAATTTCCTTGGAA